CGGAGAGAGTGTGAATGTGATGCAGCCTAAATGCCTGAGCACGCTCCCTGCTGGACCGGAGTCAAGGACACGGAGCTGAGCCCCGCCCCGCGCCCAGCTCCACCTGGGTCTCAGGGTGACTTCCAGGCTCTGCAAGGCCATCTGAGCTGGAGGCAGGGCGGGGCCGGCCTCCCAGCTGCACTGAGGACCCACGGGCACCCTCAGACACTCGCTCCCTCCCACAGGTCCCTGTGTAGTGAACGGTTAACTCAGCCGGGTTGGGCTGTCCAAACCCTGCACCTTCCCAGAAAGCACTGGATCTCGATGGGAATGTCCCACCTGGAAGAGCATCTCCGCACACCTGGGCCCTGACTGATAGTCCTGCCCAGCAGGTGTCCGTCGGGGGCCCCGATGTCCCAGGAGGCTGCTGGGCACTGAAAACACCCTCACAGCTACTGACAATTTCATGCAATTATGGAGGATAATTGTTAAGAGACAATTTATTTTTCTTAAGTAAATTCAGCTCATGAGTCTTTATGTGTGTTTTTCATCCATCTGGGAACTTTTAACCATCTTTCCAGGGCACATCTGGAGTTTGATGAACTCCAGTGGTGGAAACCCTGGTCACCAGTCCATCCTCTTCACTGAAGATCCTTGCGCATGAATTTAAACTGTGTTTCCAAACTTTATGCCTTTGCTTTTCTTCGGCAAGCGCCTCGGCGGGGCGGCACCTGCACTTTAAAGAACTCCAGCGACACGGGTGACAGGACGTAGGAGCGCGCAGCCCTCGGCTCTAGGGCACAATCCACTGACACATTTCGATTGTTTCTCCTCCGTCTTTCAGCCTGGACCCAACAGCCCATGAGGAGCGGCACATTTTAAACTGGAGCCAGCTCTCCTGAGGGATAAATTCTGAAAAGCTGCGGAGCCCCTGACCCGCCTTCCTCCCCCAACCTCGTGGACACTGGGAAACAGAGACAACCCCAAACCTGACAGGGGAGTGTGACTACGACGAGTTCGGCTGATCACCTGCGTCTGACTCTGAACATTGCTGGAGTGAAAAGGGGTTTCTCCCTGCAAAACAGCTTCCCCACCCCAAGCAGGAACAGGCCTGCCCTCTTGCTGTGGGGCGATTTGGGTCTGGATCTGGGACCTGGATGACATGTTCTGGATGGTTCTATCAGGCTGCTGATGAGACCTTTCATAAGAGTCGCCCTGACACTGGACTTTGTGTCCTATAGAGGAGCTGGTCTCCCAGGCCACCTTCCCGAGCTCAGGGGCCGAGCCAGGCAGCCCCAGGACCTGAAGGCCGAGAAGCCCAGGGCCAGAGGGGACCATGGACAAGCCCGAGGCAGTGACCTTGATCCTGAAACCACCTCCTCCCCAGCCTCCAGCTCATTCCTTTCCCACCAGGTGACAGGAGTCACCTGGCTGCAGGCCAGCAGGTGAGGGAGGCGCCGGGCAGAGAGCCCCCTTGCGTCATTCCACATCCAGCACCTGCCTCCTGTCCAGAGGGATGGCCTTGGGGATGGGGACATGACCCAGGAGGTGTCAATCGAGACAGTCACAGCCCCTTTGGTCCACAGCTGGAGACGCCACCTTTCTTCTGCTAGACAGGCATGAAGAAGCGTGTAGCCCTGATTACTGCTCACGGCTATTTGGGGACTAAGAGGGAACTTTTCCTTGAGGCTGAAACCATGGAAGGAGAGCAAAAGATGGACAAAACCAGGTCCCTGAGATCTGCAGGACCGAACCTCATCTGACGCGCACCCTGCCTGGGACTTGTCACTGACAATCGGCCAGAAATGTTCTTTGTTGCTTGTTAAAGCCTGTGGGCGTTGATGTCTCCATTACTCGTGGCCCGAGGCTCCCTAACCAATGCTAGGACCGTCTCCATTTTACAGGCAGGGAAACGGAGGCTCAGAGAGATTAAAGGCGCCATCTCTCCACATCGCCCTGACAATCAATCACACGCTACGCTGTGGGGTGCAAACTCTGAGCTTCCTCTGGTGTAAGGAACCCCCAGCGAAGTCCCGACTGCCAGTTTCTTTCCATCAGAGCGACTTTGGTGTCCAGTCTCCAAAGTGAGATCCGCAGTCCCTGATTAAGAGAATGACCCTCCCATCCAACCAAGACTCAACGCCCGGAGTCCTGGGGACCCCCAATGGGGCTGCGGTTCTCCTCCATGCCCTGCACACCTCCCTCCCTGCGAGACCATAGCTTCCAGCACTTATTGCCAAAAGATGCTGAAGTTGTGTCCAGGGCGGAAGCACTTCTGCTCTAAGACTACGCTTGCCTCCTCAACTGGCCAGATCTCCAGCTTTGCTCAGACCCTGAGAACCTGCTGCAGGAGCCACCACTGCCCCTCCCGGAGTCCTCACCCAGGGACACTGCCACACTCACGGAGACTGATTCTTGGCCAGGCTGCCCTTTTCCTCCCAGACACGGAGAGGGAGGGGAAGAAGGTGACTCCGTTTGGTGGGAAGCTGAGGGAGGGAGTGGCATCCACACCGGCTTTGCCCACTGGCCAGAGCATCCAACAACTCCTTGTTCTGAAGATGCCGGGTTTGTCCACCCTGAATGACCAATGTCAGTTTCTGAGCCGCTTCCAGGGCACCCAGGACCCCGCCCCCGCAGGACCCCAAATCCCTGTGGAATGATTTCACATTTCCCTTTGTTTGTTGGCAAGAAGCACAATCCGGCAAAAGAAAACAAGAAAAGCAGGGCTGTGGAGGCTGAGGAAACAGAGCGATCTCCTGCCCTGGTCTGCCCGCCATCTAGTGGTCAGAAAGGGGTGGTGCAGTCTGGGCCAGAGAAGGAGAGGACCACGCAGGTAACTCTCCATCAGACTCTCTGTCTCCCTCAAACCCGCCACCACAGGGGGGATCACAGCCTGGGCTCCTGGGCAGGGAAGGACTTGGGGCCCAGGTGGTGTCTGAACATGAGAACTACCCAGGACTCAGAACCTCAGCTGCCTGAGGCCAACCTGCCTTGGCGAGGGCCCGGGCTATCTCTCCACCTCTCAGAAGTACGCTGAGTTCTAAGGTCCTCAAAGGTCCTCCCCCCTTTCCCCCGTCCCTCACCAGTAAAACAACTACGTCTTCCCTGGAGGGGCAAGAGCCTAAACTAGGAGGAAGGAGATCTGTGTTTCCATTCTGAGCTGCTTGAAGCAGTAATTTAGACTTTCAGCCTCAGTTTGCTTATCTGTAAAATGGGATCAGCAACTTCTAACTCACAGGGTTAGTGTGACAACTAGATGAGTGAGGGGAGAACCTTGGTGGTCATGTTCCTTGTCCTCCCTGGGCCTGTGGCAGGAGGCGGAGTGGGGAGCACGCCTTCACAGCCACACGGGCGTGGCTTTCCTTCCAGCCCCTCCACTTTTACTAGCTGCTTGACTGTGGAAAAGTTGCATAATGTCTCCATTCCTCAACTGTAAAGTGAGAATAATTATACATGAAGGCTGGTAATGAGGATTCAGTAAGGCAATAGCTATAAAGTACATGCATAGCTCCTACAAAATCCCCTCCCCTCCACGAGCAGGAGGACCCAGAGCCCAAAGGTCTGTGAAGGGGTCTTCCAAGACCCCCAGCTCTGGCCTTACAGGTAGTGCACTGCACCACCCATGCATGGCATCTGCACTGAAGAGCAGGAGCCGTGAATAGTCTCTATGGGTGTCCAGGGCACCTGGATCTCTCCCTTCCTCCTTCTGTTTCAGATGCTATGGATTTAGTGCAGGGGTGGGCAAACTTTTTGACTCGAGGGCCACAATGGGTTCTTAAACTGGACCGGAGGGCCGGAACAAAAGCATGGATGGAGTGTTTGTGTGAACTAATATAAATTCAAAGTAAACATCATTACATAAAAGGGTATGGTCTTTTTTTAGTTTTAGTTTTAGTTTTATTCATTTCAAACTGGCTGGATCCGGCCTGCGGGCCGTAATTTGCCCACGGCTGATTTAGAGCCTTGAGCTCTGCCAGCAGAAAGAGTCTAGGTTAGAGATTTGAATTGCAAGCACTACGAGTGTATTCCTTCATAGCAGCCTGGACACAGCAGCGCCCCAGAACCCTCCTGTAGAAGTGGCGTGAGCACAGGAGCATGTGCAGGCCCACATGCACACACGTGCATTATTCTGCCTCTCTCCTTCCCTCCCTGGCCTCCCTGGCGGTGGTCTTCACAGGGACTTTCTCCAAGTGGATTTTGGGTTCCTAAGGGCAAGGACTCTACCACTTTCCTATCGTCTTCCTGGTATCACTATAAGAACTGGAGCTCAGTAAACATTGCTTTGTTGGATGGATGGATGGATGGATGGATGAGTGGGTGGGTAAAGGGATGGGTGATGGGTATGTGGATGGGTGTGTGGGTGGAGAGGAGGATGGTGAATGGTTGGGTGAGTAGATGGATGGACCAGGTCAGGGGTAGGTACCTCATAGCACACATGCATTTGTCCCTCTCAGCACTTGGCATGACCGTCATCATCGATGGATGTGAGTGTCTCTCTCTCCAACAAGACTATGTGCTCAATGGGGGCAAGGCTCAGTCTGCTCTCCCACAATTTCATCAGTAGCTCTGAGCCTGAGACCTGGAGCACGGTTTGTGCTCAGGAAATACTTGTTAAAGGAGAGACGGGTGACACTGTCCCTGGGGCAGGTGAAGGAAGGAGAGGGGAGACCAAATTCTCATTGTTAAGGAAAACACACATGAATACATGTAGACTCTTTCTTGAGATGCATGAAAACTGTAGAAGATTTCAAGATGGAGTTTTAAAATGCACTTCAGCTCTGAAATCCAAAAGCCGCACAGTCGTAGGGCTCAAAGCTGGGTTATTGCACGTTCATTGTCTCTCATTCAAGGACAGTATGCCATGGGTCCTGAGCTGGTATCGGAGCAAATGGACATGCTCAGGAAGAGCCAGAGACACGCTCCCGGTCGCCCCGGGCTGCCCAGCACAGCACTGGGCCCTCGCGATGCGAGCTGAGCAGCCGGCACAGGCACGTTTCAATGTCAGAAGCAATTTATTCTACTTGTTCGAAACTAGTTACCCACCACAGTGCACATCGTAACTCTTTACTGACTCTGAGAATATCCAATACATCAAAAATCCCACTTTTCCCAAATGTTTCTGTTAGTGGTAGTTCATTATAGTCAACAAAATTAATCTCATGAATTAAGATCTAAAGATCATGTTACAATTCCAAGTTCATCCAGGAAAAACACTATACATTCAGGTGTTAACTATCAAATACAGTTCAATTTGCTTTAAATAAAGTAACAAGCATTATCTGTTAGCGTGGTGTAAAGAAGAAAATTCTAAACTAAGCTATTTAGATTCTAGACTGATTTCCTCATGAATTCATGTTGTGACCTTAAGTAAATAGCTCCCCCATTTCTTCTCTGGTTTCCCATTGTGTAATGGTTAAAGGGTACCTCCCCTGTAGTAGGATTATATTGGAATGGCTGAGAAAATGGAAAAATATAAAAGAGTAATATATATTATGTTATTTCTACTTATTATAAAGATTTTCATATTAATAGAGTGTCTTTTGAGTCACCACTGTGTGAATAAAATAATATCCTGGTAATGCAGGAGGAAAGTTAAGAGCATGACGTCTACTAAACAATATATTTATTACTGACCTATTGTTAAAAAACTAACTTCAAGTGTATTGTCAAATATCTTTGAAAATTAGGAATATTACGTATTTGACAAAGAGTACCAGATAGCTGGCTGGCTGGATGAATGGAAAGATGGATGGATGAATGGATGGATGTCAAGGGGGAGCAAAACCAGGAAGGGCCACGTGGACAAAATTAGATGGTGAAGGGTCTGGGAGCTCCGGGGTTGTGGAGGTGACCGGGTGATGGCAGAGCTGTGTCCATGCCGGGTTTGAAGATCCCTGTGTCTGAGCTCCGGGCATCGCCAACTTCTCCATCAGCTCCTCTCACCGGCCTGCTTGTCTGGAACCTACAGGCCTCCTGGGGGCGGGCAGAGGTTATGTTTTCATCATCTCTGGGGCTCATCCAAGTGTGGGACAGAGTAGGCGTCCGTCAATGTTTGATGAATGAAGAACCGAGCTTGATTCACGGCGACCTGTATAGGAAAGGTCACCAGGGTCAGCCGCATGCAGCAAAGGAGAGGCTCATACAGGAAACCCGTGGAGTATGGGAGTGGAGGGTCACCAGCAGCCTGAGGACACGATTCCTTTGCTGGCTGAGAGTGAGGGGCTGTGCACCAATAAAAGGACAGCAACTCCCATGAAGCACAGAGGAATGGAACAGAGGTGCCTGTGGCCTGGCCGCTGTGAGTGAAGCCCCCCATGCCAGCGGCAGTTGTGCCTGGCGCACGTTCCCGAGCTGGACAACACATCCTCAGGGACCTTGTGTCTCTGTGGTATCTGTGGAGAACCCCCCTCGGACACAGGGCTCCTGTGCCAGGTCCCAATGTGGTGTGTGGAGAGGTGGTTGTTTGTTTACCGTTTTTCAAAGAGCTGAGGTTTGCAGAGACCGAACACTCGTTCTAGATGGTTTTCAGTTTGGATGACACAAGCCCCAGGAGAATATAAATGAATAGTAAAAATAAAACACTGCCCTGACCGGTTTGGCTCAGTGGATAGAGCGTCGGCCTGCAGACTGAAGGGTCCCAGGTTCGATTCCGGTCAAGGGCATGTACCTGGGTTGCGGGCACATCCCTGGTACAGGGTGTGCAGGAGGCAGCTGATCCGTGTTTCCCTCTCAAAGATGTTTCTAACCCTCTATCCCTTTCCATTCCTCTCTGTAAAAAATCAATGGAATATATTTAAAAGAAAAAAAGGAGACCTCGCTTTCTGAACATTAATTTTAAAAATAAATAAATAAAACACCACTTTCCCTTGGTGTTTTAATTTCAAGGAGGGGGCACCCAGCATGGCCGTGGCGCCTACACGCAGCTTTCCTGAGACATTTAGGACAAGCACTGGCCGGTTATCAGGATTCACACTTTACATATTAGGTGAAATCCATGGAAATCCTTTTGGAAGTCTCCCCAGGGGAGTGACTGGCCTAGCCCTCCCATCTGTCTGGGCTGTGAGGGTTCCAAGACCCTGGGTCACGGGTACACAGCTGTCAGGCGTCCTCGGAGCAGAGGGGGCAGGACAAGCTACACAGGATCTCTCTGGCGTCTCCTCGAACAGCTCCCCCATCTCTGGTGGAGACGAAGGGCCCTGGCAGGGCTGTGGGCCTGTGGGGCAGTGTGCTGTGATCCATGCACACTGATGGTCCTGATGGACATCTGGTCACACTTTGCCTCTGCTGTGTGACCTTGGGGAGTCCCTGGAGCTCCCTGGGACCGACTTCCTCATGCTCAGGATGTGGCCAGTATCTGTCACTCTGTGCTGAGTTGTCCTGAAGACCTGTTACCTCAAGAGAAGGAGGAGCCAAGCACAGGGGAGGCGGCCTTGGCTGGGGACGCTGCTGGCCCAGTGAGGAAATGGGGAGCAGGGGCCAGCCACTGTGGGGTGCATCCACACGACACTACCCAGACCGGGCACAGGATGGAACAGGGTCTTCATGGCCCAAACCTTGGGGGCCCACCCAGAGACTAAGGCACCCCACCATGGCAGGTCGTTTTCTATGATTAGAGTGTCAGGTGAACTGAAGTTGC